CACACACACACACACACACACACACACACACACAAGTGTTCTCTCTCATGGTCTCGCTCGCAGACATCATGCATTATGAGGCAGAGGCCGTGTTTGAGCAGCAGCGGCACAGGCAAGCAGAGAGGAGGGTAATCGTCTCATCTGGAGCAGCTCGGCTTCAACAAAGCTGCACGCTGCTTCAGATTGGAACACTTTTTTAGCCTATAATCAGTCCTCATGGGCAGAACGGAGGGTACAGAGGCAAGCTGGCTCAATAAGTTACACAAACACACACCACAGAGGCTTGTAAACAACATTCATAAAGAGCGAAATCCCTCCTAATTCCATCTGTCTCACTGAACTGGAAACGTGAGTTGGCCTTATTTGTGTGCGTCTGCCGTCTGCCGTTCTCCGCTGGACTCACCGTTTTCTTTTAAAAGGAGACTTTGGTATATCAGCTACAGGTATCATCTGCTCTCCTGGTCTGACCCACATTATAGGACCGTCGTCGCTCTCTGTGGGACTCATCAGCCTCAGACTGGAAAACGTTCCCCATGGAAGAGTCCTCTGGAGCCAGACAGACAAGGAGGAAAAGAAGGAGGAGGGAAAGTGAAGACACAAGGGAATAAAAATCAAAGCATCGCCTTTTTAGTCGGCACCCAATTCATCAAGTGTTTTATTTATCTCGTGTGCAGAAACTGCTCCCCTGGCAAAACTTGTCACTGGCACCCAGGATGATTCGGAGGGTGCTGAATCTGAGCCAAAGCCGTTCATAAACAGGAAACGCCAGAGGATGTGCGTCTTTTGATATTCAGCGTGCGACGCCACTCCTCCGCAGCGCGGAGAAGCAGGAGATTTGAAGTCTCAACACAGAACAGCAAACAGAAGACGAGCCTGTCACTCCTGCATTTAAGGGACAGCAGTGAGTAAACGCAGCGTTTCGGTGGTCTGCTCCTGCAGACAGAAACAACTTCCTGGACTAAAACAGGGAGCTGCGTCAATCGCTTGACACGCCTCTCATTTGCCAGCCACCGCTGAGAGTTTAGGTGTTTTGTCTTGCAGTATTCTCCATCTGCTCGGTTTGGTGTTTCCAAATGATCAGCGGTGCAAATGCGTCAAAATAGTCTAGTTATTGAATGCAATATGAGACCATACATGTGGTACTAGGAAGTAAATAAGTGGAGTAAATAAATCCTACTTTAGAGTTCAGGGATCACACTATGTCAGCCAGCTGAACATCGTCACACAACAGCTTGACTAAGCGTGCACAATTTTACTAGAACAAATGATGTTTTCTTGGAACAAATAGTAACACATTATGAAAATGAATGCTTTTAGAGCATGAGGCAATGAGCGATTAATAAGGATGTCCCAAGAGGATACTAAGGATGAGTATCTGGGCCGACCCAACAAAGTTTTAATGGCTCTCTTCTGGCTAAAACAAAGCAGATTAAAATCCAGTTCCTATAGTGTCGGCTACTTTTTTCTAAAAGGCATTTCACTGCATTCAGTTCAGGTCGGGACAAACATTTTGCGGACTCACTTCCTTAACCAGTTCAAGCTCAAATCTTTCAAAATCTTATCTGCTTGTTTGAATCCTTCTGTCACTTTTTCCATTCAGTCATTCTGTCTTTGTCAGGATTATTGCCAGACTCACCTTGAGGAAAGGTGACTCTTCCAGCATGCTGAGGAATTCTGGGAAATAATTGCCGACCTCCTCGTCCACAGCTCCCACCAGGCTAATCTGTCTCATGGCCCCAGCTCTGTATGTGCCATGACTGTAGGTTTTCTTCACCTGCAGCGGGAATATAACAAACACACGCACATACTCTGTGTTATGGTGAAGTGAGGTCGATTCCTGCTGCATAATTAATCATAAAGTGGGAGTTCAGTTCAATCATCTAAAATCCTCAGTGTTTAGCTAGAAGCATGCAAAAGCTAATATTTAACATTCTCTTTCGTGTTGTGCACAGACAGAGGTATTATAACGATAATCGAATTTCAAAACAAGTTTCCCTGGCAAACTGTAAATCACAGCTTTATTATTTTTCATCCAAAGGAGTGCAGTTCAAACAAACCATTTTCAATGTGATACACACCCACTGTTTATCATTTCACTCTCAAATCCAACTCAGAAGAAAACACATTCTCTCACTCTAACAATAAACATATCATGCAAAGTGATAAATGGAAACTAATAGTCAATAATCATCATCTGGGAAAGTTGTAGCACCTTCAACAAGCTCATTAAAGACCTCCCACTGTTGTAACAGGGGCTAGAGCAGCGTTCCCCAACCCCCGGACCACAGACCGGTACCGGTCCATGAGTCGTTTGGTGTTAAATTTATGGTTTTCAGGTTTGTTTGTTTTTTATCAGTTTTTATCTTTATTTTTTTTAATCGTTTTTATTATTAAATATGTTTCCCTGCATCATTTCCCGTGTGTTATTATTAAGTCCTTTTATTTTTGGTACCGGTACAGGTTTTATTTTGTTGTATTTAACCGCGACACCTTAAAGGCCGGTCCATGAAAATATTGTCGGACATAAACCGGTCCGTGGCGCAAAAAGTTCCTTTTTTGAGTTCCTTTTTAACATACAACAGTTACCTGGTGACCAGTCCTACTAAAGAGCATTTCACCCACTTGTTTTGTTTTAATACCTTTTTTAAACACCTAAAATAATTTAACAATTTTTGTGGAGGGAATTGATTGTGGTTATTTCCAGCTTGGTATAGTTTCCTGCTGGACTCTACTAGGGTAACTCTGTATGGTCTATAGTTAAAACAAACATGAATGGGTGCCAGTTTAGCTCACAGGTGGAGCAGGTGACCATATGCCACAAGCCCAAATGCTTCAAATCCAAGGCTGTGTGCTACGTGTCTTCCCCCAGTCCCCCTCTCTCCCTACTTTCCAGTCTGCTCTCCACTGCACTCTGATAAAAGCATAAAGCTCCAAAAACTACTTGTTCATCATAAACTGGGTATTAGTGCAGCCACTTAGTTCATCCACTATGTGAAATAAACCATTTAACTTCCTTTAAGCCAGCTTTTCCCTGATTGGTTGCCACTTGCAAACAGAAGGTGTGAAGAACAGGTGGGTGGGACTTCTGTGCTCAAAGCCAGACCATTTGTCAGACACTATATTAGGCATATAGTGTCTGGCAAAGACATCATAAACAGCTAAAAGTGATAAACAAATGACAGGAAGCAAAATAATATAATGGTCCCTTTCTCCATCCTACAGCAAGTGTTATATGATGATATTATTTATATAAAATATAATATTATTCATGCCAATTTGGGAACACACGAAAATCTGAATTGGAGGCAGAGATCCGCATAGAAGCTGTGCATCATTACTGGGTGTCAAAATAGACACTGTGTGTGTGTTGGTGCCTTCTTTTGATGTTTCTGCTCCAGTGATGTGACTCAACGCTGTTTGCTGCTTTTCACTTGGCTGACAGAGCATCGCGCCTGTGCGACTGTGTGTCTCTAACCCGCCTCTCATACCCTTGGCCCTCAGCAGTGCCTTTTGTGTGTGCATGTGCGCGCAGTACGTGCAGCATGTGGCCTGCATGCGGTACTCTTGGCTGATCGCGATGCATGTGTGTCTGTGCGCATGCCAAATCCTTGGCTGCACGCCTCCAGTGAGTCACCACTTGACAACGAGGCAGAGATAAAGGGAGAGAGAAGGGAAGAGAGGCAGACCAGAGGGAGGAGAGAGACCGAGAGAGAGAGGATACACAAGAGAGAAAGGATGAGGGGAAGAGACAGATGGAGAGAAAAATGTGTAAAGAAGAGGAAGAGAAAGTTTGGGAAGACAAGCTGTGAAATGAAAGTGAGACAAAAAAAATGAGAAAAATATCTAACTGTGACTCAGATGAAGATCAGAGCACATTGTAGGATTAATAAATGCAGAAATCTTCGTAATTCCAAAGGGTCGAAGAAAAAAAAAAGGAGGGGGGGGGTGTTGATGAGGAGAGATGAATGAAGGTTTGAAAAGATGGGAGGAGGGAAGTGAAGGGGAAGTAATGAAGATGGAAGCACTAAATTGTAAAAGGACTGAGGGGGAGGGTGTTTAGCAGCTCCCAGGTGCCTTTTTATATGTAAGGTACCAGATCCCCAACAGTAGCTTAGAAGACTGTGAATGCTGGCGGCTTCAGTATGTAGAACATGTTTTTTACTCAGTAAAGGAAACAACATGTCTACCTTAACAATTATTTGTAAATTGGTCCAAACACTTGTGATGAACACCTGTTTACAGCTTTTAATTCTATATTAAACTAGCAAAAATAAATCAGTGTATCATCCGTAGTCATGCCGAGCCACTTGGCTGTTTGTTCACGGTTTAATATCCTCATAAGATGACACAGGCTAAAAGCTTGACATACTGACTCCATAAATACATATAAAGACAACTTTAAATAGTCTCACTGAGTCAGTGGCCTAGTTACACAGAGGGGGATGTGTTGATTCCAACACCATCGGGCTTGCAAGTAATTCCTGGCTTCCACAATGTTTCTTAGCCACAGTGTGTGCATGTATTTCTGTAGTGTGTGTGTGTATGTGTGTGTGTGTGTGTTCAATTTTCTACATGATTATAAGTGTTTGCGCTTATGAGTCTCTATTTTTGTGCGTGTGTGTTTACACGTGCGTAACTTAACACCTGACTAAACCCCCATGTTGTTTGCAAAGACAATATTCTCTCACTATCACAAGAGGATTATTAGGAAACGCGACCTGTGACTTAAATGAACAGATAAATTTAACACCCACTGGTACTGACACACACACACACACACACACCTTTTCTATTTTACGTGAAGGCAAACAGAAGGAAACAGGAAATTTGACAGACTTCCTCTGAGCTACAGTGTTCAAGATGCTCCATCCCTTTCTCTTCTCTGCGTACGTGTTTGTAAACACTGACTTCACTTGGTGTTTTACTCGCCTTACCCATTTTTACCCCCTCTCGTCTCCGTCAGCCTCTCCATCTCCTCCTCTGCCTCCTTCCTTCATAACGCTAACATCCCTGGTGGGAAGCCTATTAGATCAATCCTCTCTCCTTCCTGCTCTCCTTTCCGCCTCTGGTTCCCTCACTTGTTAATTCTGTAACAAGCTTCCCTTTCCTTCATCAACTCATCTTTGACCTTCTCCTGCTGAGTTCATGTCATACCATCATCTTACTAATCTGTCCAACCTCTCCCTGACCCCCGCGTATCTCTTAAATTCTTTTCTCCCTCTCATCCAATTCTCTCGCTGATCATTATGTCCAGCCAGACTGCAGAGTGCTAAGTTTATTAGTCTATTTCCGTACATGCGTCACAACAAAGCTTCTGGCTGCTGACTGGTGCCTCAAACACAATTGGACATGCTTCTCTTTAACAATCTCCCACTTGGCTCGGCTACAAAGAGAGAGACGTGAATGAATGCACATCCACACTTCAATTAAAAATAATGTAATGGTCCCTTTCCGCCTCCTTTGTTATTGCTGATGAATTCTTGTAAGTTAAAGTGACACCACACTGATGCTAAGCCAACATCTAGGTACACTGTGGAGGCTGAGCGTGGCAGTGTTTCCTTCAGGTCAGTGAGCATCAAAAGCCTGGAGCAAGGTGCCTACACAGGATGAGGCTTTAGCTAGAATCAGATGAGCTACAGATGCCGATAACCGGTATTCGATGTAGCTATAGGATTCTCAATTTAGAGATTTGAATAATCAGGGTTTTTTTGGGTTTTTTTTGTTTGGTTGTTTTTTTTAATATGAGAAAAATAAACCATCTTAGCCTAGGGGCACAACATATCTCTCAAAAAGAAAGCACCTAGAGAAATATCTATGTTAGTCTAAGCACAGCAGCTGGACTCGTGTCTCGTGTGACTGTTAATATAGGCAAAAATAACAAAAAAAATAATTTGTGTTTGTGGTGTATTTTCCGAGAATAAATGATCTCAGCTCGTTTGTTTACCATCCTTCTCACTTGCAGAGTTCTTATCGTGCTTCACCTATTTATTGCAGGTTTAGCAAATGTGTCACAACTTTTCATACTAAATTGTCACCTAATTTATTCACGCTAGTCTCAATTTAGCCTACTGTGGAGGTCAGAGGACCTCAGCAAATAGAGAGAAGAAAACACACTGTCATCCTGTCTTTTCAGTTACGATGACTCATTTTACTGAAGTCTGTGGCTAAGTCAAGAAGCTATTGAAATATAGTAAAAAGCTGATGGTGTAGTCAATGTGAAACACCTACAAACTGCTGTTAACATCCTCTATGCAATATTGGGTCCCAGGCAGGTCCAGAGAGTCACATTGGAAAAATGTGCATTACCCAACTAGTTGGGAGCTACTGGCAGAGCGGTAGTAAAACTTCAAAACGTGTGACATAATCCAGTAATAGAGAAAATTCAACTTCCAACTAAAAGTTGTGCCTTGACTCTACTCCCAGCACATATCAAAAGGAGCAATGTTTACTTTGAAGACAAACAGTTTCTGGTTTGTGTCATACTTTTCAGTTTTACTACAGCTCGGAGAGTACCTGGTGAGTAATAGCGGTAGAACAGAGACTACCAGCAGCCTCCTGCAACTACTCACCAGCGGGTTGTGGAATACGACTTAGAGAGCTCAGCTAAATGGTAGTATTGTCCTGAAAGACTGGGCTCGCCACTCAGACAAACCCTCAGCAATGATATAGGATTTTTGACTCCCCCCCACAAAGTCTCGTCTTTTCAAACTGTTGCAACATCTTCCTCTGTATAATCGGAATTTCTGAGCTTTTGTCCAGTATTTGCTTTGAACT